CAACCTCGAACATACGACCCCATACGCGAAGTCAAGGCCCAGCGATCGATAATGACCGGGCTCGTAAGCAACAACGGAACAGGCGGGACTAAGCTCGATACCTTTCCCTACTCTATGACTTTTCCCACAGGGTTTTTATCATAGAAGGGTTTTAACGGTCGAGGGCGACGTCCAGGAAGGGGGAGTAGTGTTATAGGAAACACGGAACATTGCGCTAAAAGGGCTTAGAATAGTAAGGAATACGAGTGACGGGTTGTGATGCGAGGATGGTCGGGTAACGGAAGGACAAGCATAGAAAGGTATTGGGTAGTGTGGGGGCACACGGTGCTACCACACTAGTCCCATACTATTATGACGGCACGCTTACTATGGGGTGCCTCACCCGAAATAGAATAGGAAGCGGGGCTTACGGCTGTAGGCTGTTCTACTTAGGGAAGTAGGTCTAGGATAATAGTATGGCACCGCCCGATGACCGGCAATTGCAAGGTTCATGGTTAGGTGTCGGAATTAGAATGGAGGACGGAACTATGCGGGGGCGCTTTTCTATCTGGGTTATCTTCGGGAGCGTTTTCTTATTCTATTATCGTTGTGTCAGTTAGTATTAGAAAGCGGGCCTTGGCATAGGTTCCAACATGTATAAATAGAGCTTGATTCTGCGAAGACTTGAGGGTATCATCAATCACCAAGTCAAGGGAATCCGGTTTACAATATCATCAGTTTAAACGCTACAGAATTACCGCTTAGCACTGGCTATTTCCCCAAACAACCTCTTCTGGGGTGACTCTTCCCAGCTCATTCTCGCGATTCAAATACATATCGCAAATTTCTAGTCAGACTAGCTGTCCGAGTGGGTCCTTTTGCCCAACACTTTTCCGGATGGTTGGTTCAAATAACAGTGATCGGTGAAGGGACCATGTTTCCAACATCGGCAAACAAAGTGTTTCCGTTGTCCCAAAAAGCCATCGGAATGAAGCGGTAGGTGAGAACTGACCTCATAAATATTTATCTTTTCATACCTCTACTATCAACTCTAGATGCTGATAATTGTCACTTGATATCTCCCTTATTATTGGGTCCATCCCACATAAGCCTTCTACTCCAGGGGGGGTTTCTTGGTTACAGGGCCCATTCTTAAAGTGCACTTGGTGTTAGGAGACAGGGTTTCTTTGATCCATTAGTGAAGTTGGGTTCGATCTTCACATGATTATGCCTGTGATGATAATTTTTGGCCAGCAATACATGTATTTAGGGTACCTAGATGAAAGGTAAGAGAAGACACCTGTGGAGACTGCGCGAGGGGTATCTCGCTTATCCCAACCCCGAAGTGCAGTTCATGAACTTTTGCACTTGTGTCTTTATGGAGAAAAAGAAAATGATTTGTCATAGAACCTTTCTCCTCCGGACTGAGACAGAGAGAGGGGTCGAACCTAGTACAGAAGGGTTGAGTATTAATGTGGCGGCGTGTTGTGCGGGCCGCGTGCGGAAATTTCTAGCGAGGGCCTCAGGGAATACAAGAGCAGCTATGGCGCGAGAAGGCCTAGAGGGCGGGTGTGTCAACTTCAGAGGAATTTCGTTTGTATGGGAATCTGAGGAAATGTCAGGGTTAGCCTAGGCGCTAGTACCATTATGGCCAATTTCTATAAGTTTGATTGGCCGATTCTTTAAAAAAACGCCGAAGTTTACACACCTACCCCCATAGCTTCTCGAGCTATATATAGGGGGAAGAACTGGTTGGGTGAAAATGAGCCATTGGTCGAATGTAGAGCAATGGGCAAATTCTTATCCTTGCTGTGTTATACATGTATTCTTCGTGCGTTGTTGTAATTACTCAATCACGTGATAGCCTACTACAAGTGGTCGTCCAATAGTATTACATACCGCAGAATCTCAGGAATAACCAAGCGGACTGGCTGCAGCTGGAATACCACTTACCCACTAGTCAAGTAGACCAAAAGTTACGCTTTGGGGCTTAAAAAACATTTGACTATGTAATCCGAAGCCCAATATTCCTGAGGTCAGTCTGAGTTGCCTTTTATTGTAATCGTGATAAAAGTAGCGCGTGCAACTAGAACTTCGTTGCAACCTATCACGCATGCTAGAAACGTCAACTCTTACTCTCTCGGCCTTATATTCATCACATTGCCATAAAGGGTTTAAGTTCCTTGGATTACAATTTGGCCTGACCGTCTAAGGGATCGAGTAGTCTGTAGATAATCTTAACCTCTTGCTCTACATCACGTACTCTACATCCACAGAACATCAATAGTCTCCCACGCCTCTCAAAGATCAAGGCCCAGTACGTATTACTACCCCGCGCTCGTAGCTCACCATACCGCTCGACCCCTCCCGCCTAATCGGCCAGTATTAAAGGACCGCCACCACAAATCGACGATTGTAACCTGATACTCAGCTGTACTATCCCATAGTCCGTTAACGCTGCCTATTGATTTGGGCGGCGTATTTTCAGCTGTGGCTTGTGTCTGGATCACACACATATTCGGCTGCCACCCTTCCTCTTTTAGTAATTATAATATTCTGTCAAATAGACAGCATCTAAGCACCGGATTATGGGATAGTACAGAGTATAAGCAAAAAAACGTCTCAACCTCTACCATACTTTGGTCAGATCTTATGACGCAGCTAATTGGGCGCAGAATTCCTAATTAGGCGGCGGGCTTAAACTCGGGGTCTTGGCGTAATGACATGTCTCACTGTGTTCCATTGACCCCCCACTCCCCCCGACTCCACTCCCCTACAGCAGTAACTCAGGCTTTTTAATGGGGCGGACCTGTCTACTCGTAGTTTTTTGGCGTTTCCGGACGCAACTACTATTGCATACACAGAAAAAACTCACTAAGGCTACCTTTTGTATGACATGCAATAGCAGTTGCGTCCGGAAACGCCAAAAAACTACGAGTACATTTGGCCTTGGCCCGGCCCGGCCCAGCCTACCAAGGAGTGGGCCTGGACCGTCTGGCCCATATAGCCAGGACCGGTCACACAAAAATAAATACATGATCCCTCTAAAGATATTTATTGAAAGAGATTTTTTCTTACAATCGGTGGAGAAATATAGCCATAAACCGACCATATATTACTCCGCTTGACTGGTCAAAAAAACCACCCGGACCAGCCCATATATCTGGTGGCCCATTAAAAAGCCTGGGCGTATATATATACATAAACTAGTCCAGTTAATTTCTCCCTGAACCGACGTGTTAGATACGGATATAGTATTATATTAAGAACCTATCTTTCTCCCCGGGTCGTTGAGAGCTTGTATGTATGTGTAGTCGCCATTTTTTGATACGCTGTTCCGGGGTACCCTGCGCCCCCATCACCATTATCAAACACGCGAGCTGCGTGCTCCACGGTGATAGGCATACAGTAACAGTAACAGTAAGCAAATGGGTACATACAAAGACGAGGATCGAGGAGGATCCTTTCATTTAACCGGCCAATGTTAATGGAGCCCAAGTGGTGAGGTCAGAATAAGAGTAAGAACGGAGTGAGGGGGGGGAGTGTTTTGTATGGATAATAATAGTAGTACACGGGCCCATGATATGGGGTCATTGGTGAAATGGAGATGCATTGAAACTATATCTACTCGTATTTCACTGACGTTTGTGGACGCGACTGATATTGCATGCCATACAAAAATACACCAAGCTCATGATTTTGGGTGTATGTAATAATGGCCCAGTTCAAAAACGTCAGTGAAATACGAGTATGTACAACCCTGCAGTTACTCTGCCCCTCCAAACATTCGCTGCGCATTCTGGCGCCCATAGTCACCGTAAGATCAGCAACAATACCGATAGTCTTCAACTAGAGTTTCTGGACACACTCCGTGGGACTATGGCACATCCAATTCAATATGATCACCCGTGATGCTACAAGAAACCTATGGAGATTGAAAAAGTGCTGTCCTCCAATATCTGCTCTGGTCCAAGAAAATGATATAGCAGTAGGAAATGTGGAAAACTATCATTACTATTTACCTCACGTTCTAAGAGTCCCGATGATAATAAGACCCGCAATCTAAGATCTATCGCTAAAGCCCCTATGACTATTGAACACCAGTTCATGAAGGTCTCTCATCAATATCAGGATAACACAATCTAGCAGCTGCAGGAGGTTGCATGCGAGTATGAATTAAACAAAAAAAAAAAAAAAATATCAGCTGCAGGACATGATCTTTATTCGGTTATTCTCATTTCATTCTCATGTAAGGTGGTATGTCATATATTGATATAGCGTCCGGGCTGCATACAACCAATGCTACGTGAATAGTACGTGATGCTTTGATTAGGTTCTATTTAAGATAGCTGCGTCGGTCATAGGTGACCTAGTCGCGCTTAGGCGGGATACACTTATTCCCGCCGTGCTTGGCAGATTACCTTTAGTAATCACGTTATCACAATGGACTTGCAGGAAATGGATTCAGCAATTAATGAATTATTAATCAATCTAGTAGAATTAGACATTTTAAGCCACCGCCAATTGTAAGAAAAAAAATATCGGCAAAAAAAAAAGATAATCCTTTACTAGCCATACCAGGTTGGTATGATCAGGTAAACGCTGTCAATAACCCTGATACCATACCTGTGGCCTCTGTGAGCGGCGTTCATAATATCATAATTAACGGTGGCTTAAAATGTCTATTAAACAAAAAAAAATTTTTTTTTAGTAGGACATGACCAAAACCCTAACCCTATGCCTATATCGAGTGATCGGGCATGATTGAATTGTTGTTTGAGTTGACCCTATTGAAACGCCACTTAGCATATTATAGAAGAGATTAATCGCAAAGTACCGTAATAGTGGGATAGAACAGAAACGAGCTTCTAGTGGGGCTATTGTATCGTTATTGGTATCTCCTATATTCTCTACAGTTGGATGATGATAGGAGTGAAGAAACCCGGGAACTGTTAGTGTTTAGTGGGTTGAACACCGACTGGTGGCCCATAGTCTTTCTGTTGTAAGTATAGTTAGCTCCGATGGAAAAGGACCGGTCGAATGTAGTACGAAGTGCTGCCCGCCTCTCGCTTGTACACGAGACTTCACCCCGCCCCATGCTGCGGACGCACACCTTCCAGGATACCAGCTGGCGAAGGAATTATGTGTATGAATGGGCCAGCCTTGAGTCCGTCCCTTACCTGCACGGCCGCGGCGTTACAAAATACCGAGGGAATCTGCTGGGGAGTAACGCCAGCCCGCAGCCGCAGAATAGCGTCCGATCGCTTCACAGAGGTTGTTCAGAGGTTCCGGAGAGCTCGAGAGCCGTAGAGGGGCAGGCGGATATGAGAAAGGTATATGCTGATAGTAGGTAGTTTCTAGGGTGGAAGATCTTCGCTCGGTGTCGTAAAGCGCGAGGTTGTGACTGATCAGGGCCTGTGTCAGTGGCGGGTGTTCTACGGATGTGTATATCGCTACGATAGAACTCTAGTGACTGTTGGGCAGAATGGCGTGGGGAGTAGCTAGCTGCTCTCACTTGCGGTCAGGCGGGAAGGGGGTACCATGCGCTGAGGGGTGCGAGGGTGTGGGCAATGTAGCGGGTAGGGGAGGTGAGAACGGAGGTTTCTGTGTAGTAGCTGCTGGCTTAAGTGCCAGTAGAAGTTAGAACAAGAGGAATGGCACGGTACGCCGGCGCTGACCTTGGTAGAAAGAACGCTCTGTACACCGATGAGTGTGAGGGCTCTTGACGAGGAAGGACTGAATGTTGACGGCACCTGTTGACACGGGTAAACAGGTGCTAATCTCGTAGGAGCTTGACAAAACACACTGGGGGAGGGAAGGGGGGGGGGGGGGTGTAGATGGTTCAGGCCAAAGAATAATCGAACTGACTGAAACTCTAAGGTAGAATGCAAGATACAGCGGTAGCGCATGTAGTTGTAGCTCATGATCAGGATCAAAGTGCTCGGCGGGCCGGGATGGCGGGAAACGGGGAACAAGGACGAGGTGTCTCTATCTCGGTTGGATATCTAAAACAGCTACACTATACATCAGCTTAATTAATGTCATATCTGTGTTTGTGAACCGTACTCATATGTCAAGTAGCTACCTAGCCGGCCCCGTACAGCTGAAACGAAGGTTTATATAGGTATATACATAGCTAGAATCGCGAGGCTTGATGGATATATGTTCATGCGATACGACTTCCAAATCGCCAGCGTGTCGTAGTGCTAAGTAACGAAATCGAGATCAGGTGTGATGTGCAAACAAATAGCGGGTGCCTTAAATTACATGAGGGGAAGAGCTTGACCATGAGTGATCGATCGCACATGAGTTGCCACGACCTGAAGGTATTGGCATTGACCATGCAGCAGAGCCGCAACATCATGCGTTGCGTCGCAGAGCCTCAGTAGACACGCGTAACCCCTGAATTCAAACAGCCGCACCAAAAAATACGCAGACAGATCGATCTTTGATCGAGGTAAGGCCGTGAAGGTACCTTTGTAAGATCTTTTGCACATAGGGATGATACTTATGCACGGTATATCACTCGATTAGCGAGTGATGCTCTATGACTCCGGCGATCCTTTGGATGGCCCTTGGCAAAGACCCGGTACGCGACATAACTGGATATTACCTGCAAAGGAAATTTAAACACCCGCATTGTCGAAACGGCTGGCACCCTCGCGGCTTACCCCACGATACTTACTCGTGCTAAATAAACAGTTGGGCTAGTAGGTAAATGTTAAGGGTCCTTTACACTTCTCATGATTGCGGAGCTAGCTACATACACGTATGAGCGTTTCGTAACCTATCATCGCACAAAATCGCGACAAGTTATGTCTTCGGATGGGGGGTTCTAAAGCCATTTGAGGAGGGCTGATTTTGGTGTTTTCTGCTGTAACGGCGATTTATGTTACCGCGTACTTCGGGATCGGCACAGGTGAGAAGATACCCTTCGCGCAGCCTCTACAGATTGTACTTTTATACCTATGGTACCCCTAATCTTAAAGGTAACAAAATTTCAATCGCTTATATCTACCAAAAAGTATTCAAAAAAAGGATATTGAGCGGCCCGTCATTTTTTCTTTTGTGCACCTGGACCTGCTGGTACGTGGATCTTCCTCCACTTCTGTTTCCCACCCCTTTAAATAGTCGGATAGGCTAGAAACAGGAAGAGGGCGTCCATCTGGTCTTTTAAAGCACTCATATAAAAGAGCAAATTGCCATAACTTCATAGTAGAGAATTTCTCTCGTAGTTTGAATAGTTGATACCTTTGAAGGGGTTTAAACCCGGCAATGTTGCCAGCGTTTTGTCTGTGGGTTGGAGGCATTTGAGCAGATGGATCATGATAGCAGACTAAAATCTCAATCCGGAACGGGTTTATAGCTACAATACTCTCAATAATTTATGCGTTTGCTACCCCTTTTAAGTTCAACTCCCTGTTTGCTACTCTCCCTCCAACTCCTAATACCCAATGCTCTACCCTCACCTCCGGATATACTCTCTACCTTCACCTCCAGCTATAGGCGACACTTTGCTTTTTCTGGATCACTTTGCTATCCCGGACGAAGCGGAGAAAATCTTGACCGCCCGGCATAGCGAGGTGCGACTGTATTCCAGTCCGTATTTTATCTAATGTACATGTCTATCCCCTGGGCAGACGAAACATTTACGAAATCTCTCTCATGCCTTAGAGTGTCCTATATGGGAAGCTCATGGCACATCGACGTACTTCACAGACTGGTAAACACGGCGAGCAGCTTACCCTGAAATTTTCCCAAATTTCGAGACCACATGACGATTATGCATGAGAGAGATTTCGCAAAGGCCTCGTCCACCCAGGGGATAGTACAGGTGTTGGAGTGAAGGTTATTTTCTAGGCTCTATCAGCTTGAAATATTTAAATGAATGGATATTTTAGATCTGGAGTTATTGCGAGGTGAATTGAATTGTGACCAATCAGCGGCATCGTGTCTTTTGGCTGTTTGGATCCCAATTAGCCGATAAAATGTTCCCTGCGCAGTGAGGCTGAGGCTAGGCGGAGCTAGCTCCTGACAACCCATTCAACTCTACTTGAACTTCGATCATCCACCAACAAATCCGTTAGAAGAAGCTTTGTGAGAAACCTCAAACCCCTCTTGACGCACAGTATCTTAGCAGCATGGCAAAACATCCTTCGAGTGGAGAGGCGACAACTCTGTTGCTGAGCGAGCGAGGTGTACAGTACGACACGCACGATAGTACTGGGAGTTTACCCCCGAACGATGAAAAGCTAGCCTTGAGAATTTCAAACATTCCTGCATCTGTCACCCCGGAGCAATTAGCCAAATGGCTAAATAATTTGAAAGTAAAAGATCATGGCGACTCGCGTGGACCAAAGCGTCAGCGGATGGACAACATCCATACACTTTCTCTAGCACCGTCGCCATCATCGGACTACGATCGCTACCAAGTGGCCACGGTCAACTTTAGGAAACTCCCTTCCGGACTAGAAATGAGCAGACCTCCTACGACAACAGGGGTGCCAATCGAGCTAGGGGAAGAAGAACCTAGATTTTCAGCCCTTTTCGACTCCCACTTTGAGGGCCTTACACCGCTCAATAACCCCAAGAACCCTACTCTCGAGTATGTTATGAAATTCCATTTAAAAGAACATACCCTTCTAATATGACTCTCATTTTCATTAAGTATCATTGCAGTTACGGGACTTGCAGGTCATGCTTTCGGTTCATGGAGGTCTCCTGACGATCCAGAAATGTGGTTACGGGACTTTATCCCCAAAGATTTGGAATATAGCGCCAGGATTCTTACCTATGGATACAATAGTACGCTAGCCACTGAATCCGCCAAAGTTAGGATAGGGGACTTGGCTACGTCATTCTTGGAAGCTCTGAAGGATGCAAGAAGTCAAAAAGGCGTAAGGTCCCCCAGGTTCCCCTACTGTGAAAGATACTAATATTACCGAATAGAGTACTCAACGGCCTATTATCTTCATTGGTCATAGCCTAGGTGGTGTGGTTATCAAGAAGGTTAAACTATCCTTTCAACATTCCTGGGAACAGAAGTTCATTGGTTCTTCATAAGGTTAGGCCCTTCGTAAGGCGGACTGCAGTAGTGTAGATCCAAAGGACGTACATGCCGATATTCTTCATTATTGCCATGGAATCTTGTTCTTCGGTGTCCCTAACCTTACCCTTGAGGTTACTAATCTGAGAGAAATGGTGAAAGGAAAACCAAACAACCACCTCATCGAAGATCTAGGCGGAACCTGCCAATTTTTAGTAACACTCGGCGAGGAATTCTGTCGCTATTTTAAACAGAGACCTACCAAGATAATCTGTTTTCATGAGCTAAAAGATACATCGACGGTTCAGGTAACGTTGAACATCCACAAGTTATTATTGCATTCCAAGAGGTGCTTGCTAAAGTAGAGGACAAATATAGTTCAACTGGGCTAAAAACAAGTGGGAGAGATCGGGCGCCCCATTACGGATGGTGACCGCCGAATCTGCAATACATCCACCAAATATCGATACTCAAAACGATATAGGACACACGCCGTTACTCGTGGCGACCTTTCAAGGGAACGAGTCGGCTATGGATTTTCTGTTAGAGAACGGGGCGAATGTCAATGCGAAGCGAGGCTCCCCAGCTATAAATACACTCATGGCTGCAATAATCTCTCATAAACCAACGGCACTTCTCAAACTTATCGATGCAGGTGCCAGCATATGTGCAAATAGCTGCAACTACAGAACCGCACTAGAAGTGGCAGCGAAAGAGGGAGACGGAGTTACTGTAGAGCTATTACTATCTACTATCCACAACGCCGAGATAAGTGAAGATATCTTGAAGGCAGCGGCAGGGAATCCTGACAAAGGAGGCGAGATAATGAGCATACTTCTTGACAAGCACCCAAGAATTACTCAGGAGGTGTTGGAGATAGCGGCAAACAACCCCAATGGCAGAGATATTTTCATGATCCTAGGTGCCAACTACCCCCACCTTACTATAACCGAAGCAGTCCTGGTGAACACCATTATGAATTTCGCAGGCAATCACATATTGTCGACGCTGATTTCTGAATTTCGCAACATCGAGATAACAGAGGCTGTTTTTAGAGCAGCAGCAAGCACTTACAAAAGTGACGAGGCTATAAGAATCTTACTAAACAAATACCCGAATAATGTCATCACCGATTCTACCCTCAGAGCTGCATCAAAACAACAGTTCCCCCGAAGCTGGGAGGTCATGCAAACGTTACTATCTAGAAGCACTAAAATTGCTCACGACCTGGAGACTATCTTTTACGGAATTATAAACAATTCCTATACAAGCGATAATATCCACATGTTACTCGTATTATCTCCAAGTCTTAAACTTTCCTGGGATATTATCAAAATAATAGAGAATAGCAACTATTGGAACGAGATCAGGGAGATCTTACTGTTCCATGGTCTCATGAGGGCGAGAAGTGAGCTGTTATCAGCAGTGGCGGAGGAGGGGCGGATTTATAATACACGCGATTTAAGTTGGCCGCTGTTCCTTCAGCCATCGCAGTCCTCTGTATTATCACTTTCTGCGGCTTCTGTTGCGCACTTGGCAGTTGAATATCTGAGAGTAGTAGGGGAGACTCATAATGGTCGTGAAATGATGAACTCGCTGTTATCTACTTCCCACTGTCTATGTCTCTGTCACTGTATTCCGGAAATCACAACAAAGAGTAAGAGTAGAGAAATTATGAGGTCGTTACTAGAAAGGTATCCCGGAATGGAAATTACCGAAGCCATTATCAACACTGCAGCAGAGGGGATCTGCCCCAAAAATGAGACGAACTCACTCCGGTCAAACTACACGTTTTCCGAACGTTTTATCGCTGAGAGTGCTTTGGGTGCTGAGGTAAGGAGCTATTTTACTCAAGGGGGCTTGAAAGAACGAACATCAATGCACCTTGATATAGAATACTATACCCTTGACGGGGTCAGTATTCTCACGTACAGATTCGCGGACCTCGTGATCACCGAGGATATCATGCTGGAGACAGTGCAGTGCGGGGAGTATAGCACGCTCATACTCATAAAAGGCTTGTTAAAACAACACTCAAATACGTTCAAGATATTAGCGGATCTCTCGACAGAGGGGCTATGTCTAGAACCCGTCTTGTACTCGCTGCTGGGCCAATATCCCAGCACTTTGATTTCTAGTTCAATATTAATTGCGGTGGTTAAGAATTACCTAAGTAATCATACTGCGTTCGAATTCCTACTCTCCCAATGTCCAGATGCTGCGATCACTGATTCGGTCCTCATCACCGCGGTAGGTGTGTCTGAAATTCTTTTTAGACGCCTACTTGACCAACCTAATGCTGTGATCACTGAACTGGTCTTAATTGAAGCGGTAAGGGAACGCTGGGACGGCGAGATGTTTAGGCTACTCATAGATGGTCGTCCCGATATACTGAGCGAATCGGTCCTTGATGCGGCGATAAATAGTTATCCTCCCACCAATATTGTAGACGTCCTATTGACTTCGTGGCCCAAGACCCTGGCCACTGAGTGGGTGTTGGCTAAATTGGCTGGAATCCAGAATGGTTTTCAGAAAATAGAGCTCCTACTAGCGCAATTCCCCGATATTATCGTCACAGAGGCTTTCCTAATTGCAGCCCTCATTCCGGGAAGGGGTAATGATTCTCTGTGTCGTAGTTTAGTGTTCGTTCTGCATCGTTTCCCCGATATCATTATCACCACATCAGTCTTGAATCTGGTGGTAGATGAGTTGGTTCGAGGTAAGGTTTCTAGGCTATTACTACACCATATTTATGATATTAAGATGACTAAGTGGACCATCGCCCGGGCGGAGATAGGTGCATATGTGGGAAGTGCGGCGGTAATGAGGCTCCTCCTAGATAGAAACCTTGACTTCGTGATAGCAGAGTCAGCCTTGATTGCGGCGGCGTCGAGCCCGATCGCCACTGAGATATTCAAGCTGCTCATGAATCGACGCCCGGATATGGTGGTGACCGAAGCGGTTTTGATTGCTGCCGCGGGTAAAGGGTCCTCTGAGAGGCTGGAGCTCCTCCTAGACAGACACCCCGATCTGGTGGTGACCGAAACAGTTCTACGTAAGCTCGTAGAAAGCGGAGCTCACCTAGAAACCAAGACCCTGCAGCGGATCATGGACAAGTATCCCGAGCCCACAATCGGTGAAGATCCCTGGACTACTCCATCCTACCTAGTCACGCGAATGAAGCTCCTCCTGCTGGCACGGCGATACCTTATCATCGAAACTCCCTCTACCAAAACCTGTATCCCCCCACATTGAAACATTAGAGCTTCGTGATTGCAAGACCCAATCTTGAACTACTGTTATATAATACTTACTCTTGGATATACGATCCATCTTTTATAACCACTATGTTAGAGAGTAATGGAGTATTTTTGGTTCAGCCTCTAAGTGAGCGAGTGTCTATAACCACCTTTTAGTTTTGTATTTTCCTTAAATCTAATCGAAACTGATGTATGGACATTTAATTTGCTTATGTTGTGCTGGGCACATTTATATGTGTTCTATGGTCGGTAAAGGAGTTAGGGTATCCGTATGGGCTTGGTTGGTTTTTGTTTTTACTTTTTTTTTCCCCCTTGGGCTGCTGGGTAGTTTTATCAATAATGGGGCGTAACTTTTGTGGCGAAAATTTGAAGCCGGGTACCCTTCCAACCGTCACTCTCTATAAAACAAGTTTTTTAAGTGATGGTGTTAGATAGATCTCAGTATATAAACATGAATACAAGTAACAATCCGCCATAGAAAATTCATACATTAGCTTTCTTGTATAGCTGCTCTGCACTACCGTCGTTATCTAAATAGAAGTACCATCATCGCACCAGGAGACCAAGGCACCCCCCGCACCCCGGCCGCGCACCCAGAGCCACTAATATACCGAGATATGGGAGTAAAGGAATGTACAGGTAACCCTTTAGATTTAGTTGGTAACGTAGGCTCGTTGCGCGCGCTGTGACGTAGGCGACGCATCTAACGACTGGGATGGAAGGTAAGGAGATCTAGAGGTCATGAGATCTAGAGGTGACCGTGTCTAAATAATGTAGGTACATTGTTTCTTCTGTCACAACTCTCCTCTGTCTATCTCATTATCACATTGTCCTCACAGTCAAATCGAGTTTTGTTTCTATTGCCAGAGCTTGAGCCTTCCGTCAATTGAGGATCACGTAGGATCAAACAAAATCTATCAAACTCCTAAATACGTGTAGCAAAATAATCATTAGGCTAAAATTCAAGGCCTGTATATAATGGAGCCAACAGTCTAAAAAGCCATAAACACAGCTCATGACAGAGATGTACCATTGAACAACCTCTAAATATCGATGAATATGCAGGAGGCTTCCTTCGGCGCTTGAAAGATAACCGTAGCTATTGCGGGTTATCAAAAATAACCGGAAATTTGCGTTACAACAAAAGTTTATATTGGAATGCAACTTCAACGTCGATTTATATCGAACCATAAGAGGAATAGATTTAAGTTCTGTGATTCCTTATAGTTGGATTGTCTAGAATTTTGATATGGGACCAAGGGTGGTACTCTCAAAATTTGGTTGTTGTAGGCCATTTGCTTGGTTGCGAGGCTAGTTTCCGACAAGGTACCCACTATATCAAAAATCCAAACCAAAACCAAGTGATACACAGTGACTCACTCGCGCCATAAGCACAGTGTCGTGCTGATTCTGGGCTTCCGAGCTGTGGAGTTCTATATGATTGGCGCTATGTGGTCATGGTAGTAGGTTTTATTTTTGTCTATGACGAGAATAATAGGGGTATATAGAGCCCCTTTGATGTATAGTATACATAAGGGAGATTCCACAACCAAAAAGGGATTTCTACCCACTACAATGCTCACTTCATAATTGATCCTTTCTCGCGGTATTACTCTATAAAATCAAGCTTATATCTGCCATTTTACTACACTTGGTGTAAGGATAACCTGTTTTTTGTATCATTGACCACCACCGGCTCGAGCTAGTTTACGAGCCTGTCACCAAGGCTCGACCCTTGCGAGCCTTTACCTCCCGCGAGCCGAGCCAGCTCGAGCTTATATGCCGGCTCGACTCGAGCCGGCTCATGGACCGCACTAACGAAGTCACTAAGCTCCCACCCCGCGTAGGTTCCCCCCCCCCCCCACGTTCATGGGGCAGTCTTCGGTTGTGAGCTGCAGCCGTACCTCCTCAGCACCATCCTGCCTCACCGCAAAATCCAGCTTCGGAAACAATCTTAATGCCTCCGAATTCTTGACAACTCGTGCAATCGCCCCCTCCTGCTCGCCTCCTAACCTCTCCTCGTATTTTCGTCCACTTACTCCCAGCAATACATCACTCCTTGCCTCAGCAGCTAGACACCACCCAAACCTATAAAACCAACCACCCTACCAATCTCTTCAGCCATTAAAGCAATAGTGCCTTCTGGTCATGCCGTTTTCAATTAAGCGCATTCCATTCAGGATTCGCCCGACCGGAAAAATACCTAGGCGGGATATGCGCTGAGGGAACGGTGTTTAGAAGTGAAGATCGTGTGGGTTTACATCAATCAGTGCCGTCTTTTTCTGCGTTTTGGAATCCTGATTTCTGCCATGTGGATTGTTGACAGAGAGAGGGAAATGTATCACCGACGGAAGGCTAGGGTGTGCGGGTGAAATACTATATAAGTTGATGAGGTATTGTCATACACTATGGTGTAGCTAGCTAGGGCGGTAGTGTTGGGGTCGTTGGGCGTGGTAGCTGCGATATGGATCTGTTGCTTGTAAGGGGAGTGTATGGTGGGGTTATGTTTAACGTACATGTATGAGGGCTGGGGGGTTCTAGATAACCCTGGGGCTGGCGGTGGGTTGCTGGTGAGTTAGGACAGCGAGGCGGGGCGTGAGCCGGAGCAGAGGATGAAGCTATTATCTATGCGCGGTAGATGTGGGGGTGTTGGGTATGTAAGAAAACGGTTCGAGGGGTTATAAGCAGAGAGCGTATGTCTTTGGAATGTTTTGCGTAGATGAAAAGTAAAAGCCTGACTACATGAACAGGTGGCTTTTCTTCCTGTGTTTAGGGGCTCGTTTAGTTCTAAATATTTTACTCATCAAAATATCGATTTATACCCCGGATCGACCCTATAGTGAGTGTAAAAACTCTCCACCTGGCTATGACCTGTGGGAAATCCATTATACTACCTTGCAGTGAAACGATTTGGGGACACATTGTGCTTTGAAGGATGTTAACGTATGTTTCTAGGATGTAGCCTCATATGCATCAGCGTTTTATATTTAGCGAGTTTGACTATATATATATATATATTTTTTTAATTCATGTAGTTTTATTGATCCTAGGTACAAAACTCTGCCTGCAGTCGTAGACTATGACTATTTTTTTTTTTTTTTTAAATCATGTAGTTTTTAAATAATTCTAGGTACAAAACTCTGCATGCAGTCTTAGACTATGGCATAAAAATACCTCTCCCCGACTTAGAAAACCGAATTTCACAACCCCAGATGAACAAAGGGAATTAAAGGAAAGAAACAAAACGTTAACGAACTGACTGGTTGACTGCAAGGAAAAACGACGCTTTGGCGGCCCGTATCCGACATAGGAAAGCTTCCTGCTGGTTTCAAATAACCTGTTGCCCTTTGAGGGTCTTTGTGGGTGCGGAGTACCATGGTTTGGGTTGGGTTTGTGGTGGCTAGGTGGAGGAGGGAGGGGAGCTGAGGGTGCTTGACATCTCAGATCCGGACAAGAGGGGGAGATATGTTCCTTTCTAGGGAAGTTCGTTTTGGTGGTGGTGATGAAGGCTTTTAGAGCTAGTGTGTTGTGCGATCGTTCCAGATCTCTTCGAGGGTTTTTATTCCTGGGAGGAGTTGGGCGCGTTGGGTTGCTTTTGCTCGGCAGAAGAGGATGGCATGTTCGGTGGTTTCAGGGCTTTCGCCACATCTGTCGCACTTATCGGAGAGGTGGAGGTTGAGCCAGGATTTGTGGCCTCTGAGGTAGCTTTTTTGGGCTCTCATTTGGTGGATTCGAGTAGGCGTGAATTTGTGTAAGTCCATGAAGGGCTCAGGCTTGTGGTGAGAGGGAAGGAGTAGTAAGGGGGTGTTGGAAAGTCTTGTGCCCAGTTATCCATCATTTGTTCCTTCACTAGTTTTGGGGGAGTTTATGGTCTGTTCCTCTCGTGACTGGGTGACGGAGGAGGGAGCAGAGGTGTTCGATGGGGAGGTAGGCCACTCCTTTCGTTGCCGTTGAATTCCACTTTTTGGGTGGGTTGGGGCGGCGGCATAGGAGGCGTGTGTGGGAGGGAACCTTATTGGGGGTCAGGGTAGGGAAAGAGGGGTGGCAGCGCCCTGTCACTGGGTTGTTGAGAGGGTGGGCAAGTAGGACGCGGATGGCGAACTTTGTTTTAGGTAGTGGATGTAGTTGATGAGTGGGGGGCAGTGGGCTTCGGCCCAGAGGACGCGTTGGTTGGTCGCTCTGAAGCAGCCGGTGGCCCATCTGAGTACTGAATTCCAGAATTTATTCATGGCCTTGAGGGAGCTGGTGGGGGTTAGGACGGATGACCCGTATGTGAGCATTGGGCATATGGCGAGAAGGGCGATTTCCTACAGTTGGATGAGGAGAGGCCTTTGCCGGGGGAGGAGAATCTCTGAAGAATTCCGAAGCTGGCCTGGGCGGAGGCTAGGCGGCGGATGAAGTGGGTGTTTGGGTTGAAGTTTGGGGATAGCCAGAAGCCAACCCATCTGACTTGATGTCCTGGGTGGAAGACCTGATTATCGAGGCTGATAGGGAGTGTGCAGGTCAGCGCCTTGTCTTTGGGGGTACGCCAGTGCATGAGTTCGGTTTTGGGGATTGAGAAGGTGGTGTTCTGGGCGGTCATGATGGTTGTGATCGCCTTGAAGTGTTCTTCGAGGATACGGATGTTTTGTTGGTAACTGGAGGAGCCCACGGTTATTGCAAAATCATCCACGTAGGATAGGGTGACCCCTGAGGAGGGATCGTGTAGGTGGAGGATGTTCATGTATATGACAAAGAGTAGGGGCGATATGGGGGAGCCTTGGGGAACTCCAACTTGAACGGGGGTTGGGATTCTCGGAGAGCCTTTGTAGAGGAGAGTGATGTGCCTGTCTGAGAGGAACGAGAGGACCCAGTTAATGATATAGGGGGGGTGGCTTTGGCTGCGAGGGTCGATGCAAGGGTATGCTTGACGACATTATCGAAGCCTCCCTTGATGTCGAGGAAAAGGGTGGAGACTTTTAGCTTGGCGTGTTGCATGGCTTTGGTCTCATGGAGGAGGGTAGTGACTGCATCGGCTGTAGAGAGGCTGGCTACTGATCCGCATTGGTGGAGGTGGATAAGGCTTACCGCTTTGTCGATAGATGCGAGGCGAAGGGTGACGATCTTCTCAAGTATTTTGGAGAAGGTTTGGAGGAGGACGATTATTCTGTAGGAGGTGGGAGGGTGTAATCGGTTTTGTTCGGTTTTGCTAGAATAACTCTGTTTGCCCTTTTGAGGGAGAGGGGGTGGTAGCCGCTTTTTAAGAGTGGGTTGAGGAGCGCGGGGATGATTTTAGGGTTGGCCTTATGGACCCCTTTCCACACTGAGTAGGGGATGGTGTCTGGCCGGGGGCTGAAAGGTTGGAGGTGGGGAGGAGGGTGGTTCTTACTTCCTCGGGGTGATGTCTGGGATATGAGCGAAGTTGAGGGGGGGGGGAGAGCCGGTATCAGGTCTGGGCGGGAGGAATGCTTTAACCAAATTCTGGTTCAGTAGTGCGGGGGTGGGGGAGTTGGAGAGGGATGGGACTCTGTCTTCCGATCTTGTTGCCATCTTTTTAAGTTTCCAGACGTTGCTGGTGGCTGCGTTGGACACAAAGGAATTCCAGTGAGCGCGTTTCGCATTTTTGATTGCGTTGAAGTAGGCATTCTTCGCCGCTTTGACTTCGAAGGGGGGCGTAGACTATGACTAGACCATTGTTATCATATATGTATAGCATCATCTTGAAAACAAGTTTCCCTATACATTTAACTACCACTACGAGATATACAACCCTCTTCACCACCACAATCTACTGCGAGTCTCTCCCTTCCTTACCTCTGAAATGCTGGAACTCTCGCTACAGCCTTGAGCCGCGTGCCTATAAATTGCCCACAAAGTACTATTCCTGGAGAAGCCATCGTGGCTCTGGCGACCTAGCAGTCAACACGTATTGCTGCAATACCTAAGTGGCGTTCTGTAGTCTCCCTTTCCAGTGGAGTAATACTCTACTCAGCCCCTGAAGTGCCGTCTGTATGTCTTCAGCCCTCAAGTGCACTTTTGTGCACGGCGTTGCTCTCGTATGGCAACCGGCATACCACATACACTTTAAAGTACAGCTCGACTGCCGGAAGAGACTATTTACTTGTTTTGAATAGTAATTTATCGCGCTGTTTGGATTTTTAACTAGTCACTGTATCGATCTAGTAGAGGCACACAAGTATCGGCCCGATTGAGCCCTCAATAGGCTAGGGGAGCACTTTTCGTTGATTGCTTAATCTTATTTTTAGCGATGCCTAGAGCAGCAGGCGTATTGAAGGTTCGACCGCAAAACGTACAAAGGCTTTGTCTTTAGCGTATCGCGAAAGACGATTTCTTTTGTGCTTCTGCGGATGCTAGTTCAAGTTCCTCGGTTCGCTGTTGGGATATCGAGGTCCTAGTAAGACATAACGCTAATGCAAGAATGTCGACAGCCTTGTCTTGGCCAACGTGTGGGGGCGCCAAGACTGTGTGAAACATGCCGTGGCAATCATTGACGTAAAGCTTGACTGTTGAAGAGCGGCTGTTATAGGTTGAACGCATACTTTTTGAGGGAGTCGATGGAGCCGTGAACCTCTCTTACTGACAGATCCCAACAAGGCGAGACAGTTCAATGGCCCCGATAGCATTGCCTTGTTACACTGGCGAGCGTGTGGACCATTGGTGTTTTTTTTTTGGTACGGCAGTACTCTAGCTATGTCCTTCGTTGGAAGGCTGTGGTGTTTGATAAGTTCATCCAGTCTCGATGTTAATCCAATCAGTGTTTCAGGTTGGTCGGATTAAGAGAGAACTGCGGCCTATCTTCTTGTCACCCGCGAGTAGAAGTTTGCCCTCGTACCCCCCCCCCCCATACTGGATTATTTATTAGGATGACCAGATCCTATATTCACGACGCTATTTCCACTACCTCAAAGGCCTAGAATATGTCATCAGTGTGTGCCTATCCCGTGTCCGGTAACTATGGCATCGCCCCTCAAAACCTTTACCTTTCCCTCCTACTCCTCGGCACAGTATGGCATAGAAAGGCCTGGTTCGCCGAAGCTATGCTGGGTGGTGCTATGGTCTACAGCTCCGTAGCCGCCGTCCACGCCCTGTCCACAATCCATTTCGATCCACCGCCAATAGCCGAACTCGATGCCATTCCCATCTACGGTGTCATCTACTTTGCTCTCTGCGTGTCTCCATGGGTTCTTATCCGGTCACAAAACTTTAGGAGAGAGTTCCTCGGTACTCGCGCGGTCGTGTTCTCGTGGATGGTAGTTATCATGGTGGGTGGTTTCGCGGCGGCGTTGAATGTCCGGTTCTTGCCCCGGGCATTACCGGATTGCGACCCGGACTACACAGGACGATTGAGGATCGGGCAGCAGACGACGCAGACGACGTTTCCAGTCTCGATGTCGAGATTTATACGGCTGCAGCGGTATGCGGCCGTGGGTCCGTTGGTGCTGGTGCCGATTACGATCTTTCTCAGTGAGCTGCGGAGACACCAGAAGGCGAACCGGAATTTCTTGAGGAGGATATGCGAATCTTGTTGCGGGTGTCTGATGGTTAGTGAAGGGTGGGTGCTTATTTTGACAATCATCATTCAGTTTGTTTGTGCCTTGTGGGGAGCGTATGTGCTGTACGTGACGCAGGTCGCAATGTGGCGAGTTCCGAGGGGGGAGAGGATGGATGCAGTGGGGCAGTGGGGGCCGTTTGTGGGGACGGCGTTTGTGGTCATGGCTGCGGTTGTGGTGCGGTACGGAGATGAAATGTCGTGTCGCTGGAGGGAGGTGAAGTGAGACAAAAAGTGGTTGTTAATGTGTGAATTGACTATCTTCTAAATCTCTGGAGGTTTATACATACGCGAGAGACACAGTATGGAGTGGAGTTGTAGTTGGTAAAGTCTGGCTGCTCAAGTCTCTGTCCTCCTTCTCCTCCTTCTCCTCCTTCTCCTCCTTCTCCTCCTCCTCCTTCTCTACATTTATTTATTAACACACATTCTGCTATGTGTTTTTCGCCTGTACTCTATGTACTCTAAGCTTATAGTTGTCTTTATACGCTGTCTTCATCTATCCTGGTCTGATAACAGCTTTCTGCACACGCAGCACAGTTTTCTTTAGAAGAAAAAAGTCTAGTTTTAGCTACATATAGGAACAAAGTTCTAACTTTCTGCATGATACGTGCTTCCAAGGGTTGTGGCATTACGGGGCGGATATACGTGACACCTATATTCTTGGCCGCTGTTTTCTTTTGGAAAACGGTTTGGCGTGCTTTTTAGTGTAGATGTGAGTCGTTGTCTGTGTCACTTGTCTTTTTATTCAGCATATAATTGGGAGAGCTAGAGGCACCTGTTGCCCTACATGGCACGTGTTACTTGTGTTTCGTGCGCGAGGGAGGGCTTTCTCCCTTCTTCTCTTATACAGTCGGATTATTCAATGTAATAACCCCCCCCCCCATCTCTCAGAATACATAAATCGGGTTCTGATTGTCCAATGAAGCTCGGAGGCTTTCGTGCGCCCCGCAAAGGCAGTGGCCCTATCACGACAAGATATCGGGATGATAGATGCAGCAATGTAGTTTGTTTGACCTACTACTCCGGAAACAAAATAGTTGTCCTGGTATTGAACTAGAGTTTGTATGTTTCTCTCCCATCATACTTTCAATTCCGGTCACTTACATAAAATAGACCTCGATGGACTGGGTTAAAAGCGTTTCATCCAAGCTTTCTAGTCTTCATGCCACGCCGAGCAGACCGCTAAGTTCAATAGTCAGACATCCTCTGGTTCAGAACAGTCTTCATCTATCCACGAATTTTCGTACTGACCAGACGTATAGTTGAACGCTTACTCTCTCGACTGAGACTTTCCATCGTGATGAATATCCAATCAAGATGGTATTCGAGCATGGCCTAGAAGATAGGTATACCATCTACGCGGGTAGCTAAACCGGTGCAAATACCTAAAGGGATATCCTCCTCATCTCCTCATTCTCACTTCTACCCCACAAGCCAGTAGAGTACCACACCCCCAACGACAGGCATACAAAAGACAAGAAGATCTCCCACCCTCAACTTTCATTGTTGCAATACACCCCGCCACCGGTTCCAGAACTCGACGGTCGTCCCCCAAGACTTTCAGCTGAGACATTCCTTTAGTGCTCCAAAGTATGCTCAGGTTATGAAACTACTCTTCATCCATAGTTACTCAATAGGATGTCGCGTATGGCGGGGTTTTTGGTTTCAATATTCTCCAGCAAAATACACCCAGCCCGGAACTCCAGGTCCCGGAGACTCGGCGCATGAATCTGGTGGAGCCCTCTGGAAGGTTAGAGACCCGGCAACTAGCGGCGACGGGGCATGTTTACTTCCTATGGCGAAGGCTATCTCCTTTGCCCCCTTCCTTCATTCCCGAACACTCTTCCGCGGAGAATCTTAAAGACCGCCAAAATCTAGAGGGCCGTGGAAGACGATGGAAGACGGCGGAAGCTTCTAGACCAACTTTGCTTCTTATTTCTAGAAAGACAGAGAATAGCAAACATAGGGCTAGGGTTTGCGGGGTGTGGGGTGCGAGGTATATAAGAAGCCTTCCCCTCCTCTCCTCCTTCCCTTCCTTCCTTCCTTGACATCACCACCTAACTCAACAACCAAATCAACGCCCACATAAACAACCGCATCAACACCTCGGATGAGGGGTATATAAGAAGCACTCCCCTCCCCTCCTCCCTCCTTTCCTCCCTTCCTCAACATCAACACCGGCGCCGGGTTCGGCGTCGACATGAACCTCCATAACGAACCTCCCAAGACATGTAGGAGCTGGTCAGTCAACTTTCCCCATCATAATTCTCGCCAACAAACTTTGCAAATAATAAAGGTAAGTCCACCTCCTTCATGCTTATATTTTACGGCCGCCCCCCCCCCCCCCTTCTTCGCCCCCCTCGGAACACCGCACGGTTACTAGCCATGCAGTGCGCAAGTCATCAGCTTGTGTCTCCCAATGGTGCAAGTTATTAGCTTGTGATTGAAACAAACAACCGTAAAAAGTTGAAACCAACGGGACAAGTTATTAGCTTGAAAAAATTCCGGGGCGGGCGATGTTGGGCGGAGCGCGGTCTGCTAATGTGTGTGTGTGATAGGGTCAAATCGAGAGCGAGAACAACGGTTAGTTATTCAGGTCAGTGTCCCGCATTCTGAACGAGATGAAGATGACGAGTGCTAATATATTTATTATTCTTTGAAGCAGTTAGACAATATGAAGATGTGAGGAGTGGTGAGAAGGAGATTCGTTTTGGCGGGGTTTGCCGGAAATTCGATGTCAGAATTAAGATCGAATTGAAAGATAAACAGCATGTGTTTTTTATTTTGTCTTTTCTCCCTCTCAGTATTTGTATTTTTAGTTATGAAATGCGGTCGAAATAAAGTTGTAGTTAGACATCAACCTTGGTGGGTGCACACGCCAAGCCTCGGCACGTGAACCGAGCCCAAAGCAGCTAGCGTCCCCATCCACGCACACCTAAGCGAACGACCACTAAAAACACCAGCAACCTCCCAACCCAACCAAACCCCAACCAACCCACCAACCACCAAACTCAACACCATCGCCATGTCAGCAGCGTCCATCCCGACCTACTTCACCACCAACGCCGACTACAAAACATGGACACTCCTGGCTTTCCTCACCGCCGAATCCGCCGCGCTCGAAACGCCCATCGACACGGAGATCAAGCGCCGCCTCGGCGACGCGTGGAACAGCACGCTGCTGCACTATGCGAACGACGCTGAGAACCCGCGGCGCGCGGGCTGGGCCGAGCGCCTCCGCAGGGAGTGGAAAGATGTGAGTTCTTGAATGACTGACTTTACAGCTTTATCTATCCTACTCTGCGGGCGGACTTTGATGTGTGATCTTTAGGTTCGTGATCGTTACTCCCCCTCCCCCCGTTTCGGTTGTGACGATGAGATTTCGCTTACATAACCCAGGTCTTGGCGGCCACACAACTCCCCCCACCATCAAACAACACCACCACAACAACCACAACAACCACAACAACCACCAGATAATCATGAATCCACGATACGATGCCCACCATTCCTCTCCCTATCAGCTCCTTCCGCCACCTCCAACGAACCGATCGACCACACTGCCCACAATGCCTTTTAGCTATGCTGGGATTTACGGTCGCGATGCCTTCTAGCCATTGCTTCTGTCCCCAGTATGACGCTTTAGCCATCTATGGCGCTCCATTGTCACGATGCCTTCTTGCCATCACCACAAACCACTCCTCGCCCACGGTGCCGTCCTGCCGTCCGTGTGCCAGCCCATATCTCTTTTGGGCCTATGATGCCGTCTCGCCATCTATCAGCCCCCCATATTTTCCCCGTCCACAGGTGCCGTCCCGCCACCTGTGTACAGCGACTGGAGCTTCATGTCAATCGTTGCACGGTGCCTTCTAGCCACTCGTGCTTCGGACTGAACGCTACCTTGTCTACAACGTCCTCTTTGGAGGACGGATCGGAGAGCCGCCCCATGAATGCCGTCTCGCCATGATTGGGCCGGTAATCCGCTTTGCTCTTTGCCCTTTTTTGCCCCGTGTAGGGTACTTCACAGATGTTGGCCGGTAGAATTGACGATGAAAGTGCCCTCTGGCCACCTGATTCACTCTCTTCGCTGCCTGGCAAATGTTGGGTATCTTGCATGATTCCACTCCTCGCTCGTCTCCCGGTGTATGATAACTAACTATAAGTATGCTAACCATCTCTGTAGAAATCACCTAACACACAGGCCGCCTTCAACAACTGGATCCTCCAGCAACAATCCCCCGCCGCTCCCGACAAATCCCCCACGGTTTCTGACAATTCACCACAGCCAAACCCCCGCGCGCCCCGCAAATCCTACAAACGCCCGCGGCCCTCCCCCCTCTCCCGCGTCTCCTCCAGATCCACGACCTCCTCGTCTTCAGTGGCACCTTATGACAGCGTCTCAACTGCCGGCACAGAATCCACCGCGACCTCCACGAGCAGTGTGTTCCCGTGGTGCAACCCCACGCTCGAAGATCTCACCGCACAGCTCGCTGCCATGAAGAACCTCCTCAACATCTCTGAGAATGAGACGCTCGAGAGCATCGTTTTTGCGATAGCCAAGACCGCATACGAGAAGGAGGAGTTCGACCGTTGCCAGCTATGGATCCTGGATTCGGTGACTCGAAAAACGCTGCCCGACAAATCTCAAGAAATGGTGAAAATGCCGCAGATTCCGGAGGTGCCGGCGAAGCTATTGACCTATCTCGAGAGGTACCGCGAGGTGGGTTTATTCCCCGGTTTTTGTTTAGCATAGTCAAGAGGGGTCGGAGGGGTGTGGCCGGAAAGCACAAATGCTCAAAAAAAAATTCAAAATCAATAAAACATATTACATTACTGGTTCCCTACATTTTTGTACCTTGACCGCCCTCATGATACGCACTCTCCTATGAATATATACCGCATCATCTATTTATCAAATGCTAAAGTGATATAAAGGTCAAAACTCTCGAAGACTGCTTCGCTGTCGCCGCCAAACCGCACGCCGACCTTTTTGACACAATCACAGACACAACCAAAACATGGATTGACGATGTCATGAAGTTCTCGTCCGTCCCACCTCTTTATCCTCTTTATCCTCTTATCACTAACAGCATCTAGTTACAAGCTCATCACCACTTCATTCCTCACCCTGCCCCTCCATGAAGGTTGCTACGATTCATCGGTTCATCCTCTCTTCTGGCAAAACTATTTCTTGGATTCCCCGCTATTCTGCCAACAGTTCTTCCCCCTCCCTCCAGTTCACTCTGACCTAAACTAATTTCTGAACAGAAAAGAAACGAAGCTTCCAACCCCGAACCCGACTTCTCCTCTTGCAGCCCTTCGCTGGGATGGGATCTTTCTCCCCAAGCGCGCCCTCATTAACGGTACTCGCCCCGCTTTCGGCCTTGTCGAGGTGTGCCGTGACATTGGCACCGATGCCGTCAAGTCCCGGCGTGACTGGCAGAAGCTGCTTGTTGGATGTCGAGAAATTCTTGCGGTGTTGAGATGCGCTGTGGAGGGTGATGCCAAGACGATCAGCGAGCTTGCGGTCGTGGGAGTGCTTATGACGGGTATGTACTGCTCTTTTCTAAGTTTATGGAGAGGGGGAGGGGACTAACGTGTGCGTGGTATAGGTGCTCAGACAACAGTCATGGTCATGGGCTGTATCGGCGAGAACTTGTATGCGGTTGTTGAGGGGGGAACGCATGTCTTTCCTCCAGATCTGAGTGGCATGGCTAAGGGCGTGTCCAAGTACGTGCAGCCGATTTGGAGAGCTAAGGTATGTTGGCCTTGTTTTATAAATATGGTTATGACTGTGCTGACTGACGAGGGTGAAGGAAATAATGTTGAGGTCTCATGCGCTTATAGAAACCTACTTTGAGGATAAGAATTATGAGATTTAAGTCGCCATCTTGACGTATACTGTACTGTGCTGTGTTCTCGATCATGTGATGCGTTGATGTTCTAGTATTGCCGTTGCGATTGTAGTCTCTTGGCGGGGAGGGAGATTGTGTCCACTTATCTATCGTCCATGTTATCACCCACGTACAGCCACTCTGCAAAAGTGTTCATGATTCTGATTTCGGAGTGAGACATTTCTTCATATGTAACCGTGGTGGACCATCAAAACCCCCAAATTGAAGACTTTCCCAGTGACCAATGGCGCCCGAAATCAATGAAGGAGACTCATGATCTACTTTCTTTTATATATATGGCGCGAGAAGGCATAGGGGTGGGTGTGTCAACTTCAGAGGAACTTTTTTTGTATGGGAGTTAGACAAAATTCCACCATTAGGCTAGGCGCTAGTACCGTTACGGGAGTAGATCTCCCAATTTTTATAGATTGATTGGCTGCAAACGCCGAAGTTTACACACCTACCCACCATAACTTCTCGAGCCATAGTCACGAACTATATTATATGTTGTTCGTTGTTTTGAATCTCAACATTAATAACATCAACTTCACACCGCGCACTGACATTAAAACTAAAACGAACACTTTTGCAGAGTGGCTGTAGTGTAACGGATTTTTCTATTATCATGAGCCTGGCCAGGAATTTGTCTATCTATATGCCCTGCATGCATGTTAGTGTACATATGGTTCGTGTACTCTATTCCATGAATAACGAATCGAACTAGACTAGAATATTGGGCTTTGGATTGATCAAATGCTTGAGCCTCAATCCGACAGACCCAAAGCGTAACTTTCGGTTGTCTTGACCAATGGGTAAGTGGTATTCCAGCCCAATCCGATTCGTTATTCCTGAGATCCCGCGGTATATCAAATTAAAACTACATATATTTCACGTAAAGAAAAGGAATAGGATCTGGCGTACTTCGTGTGAATGATTAGATTGTGCCTTGGGTATTCGACAGTACTATCACGAATGAGAAGCCTCTATAACATACCCCGCTTTTTGGGTCGCTTTTCTCCAAGATATACCTATGCTGGGAGGGGTGTGTTGTAAAAAAGGGATAGATGCAGTTATCTCTCTCTTGGCTATCAATCTCGAGTACTGTAGTATTTGAGAAGGTTCGTTGCGCTCTAGTAGGGGTATGAGCCAACCAGAGGCAGTGTTCGGGCGTCAATATGCAAGATTTAGTAGGCAGCGGGTGTTGAGGGTAAGTGATCAGAATCTGATAAGTGAATGCTGCGGTGAATACGTGTATTTGTCTTATCAGACCCTGATCACTTTTCGCTATACCCTAGTACATACTCTAGCGAAGACCCCTGCTGTAGCTAGTGTGGTCCATGAGCCGAGCCGGCTCGAGCCCAGTGAGCCTCACCATCCAGCGAGCCTGAGCAGGCTTGAGCCGTTTTCTCTAAGGCTCGAGCTTAGGCTCGAGCTTGATCTCAGGCTCATTTTTCTCACTCTGGACTACGCTCTAGAAGCCACAAAGGAAGCAAAAGAGGGATTTATACCCACTAGAATGTTCACTGAAATAATCGATTCTTTCTCACGATATTCTTCCATGAAATGAAGCTTATATCTGCCATTTCACTACACTTGGTGTAAGGATAACCTGTTTTTTGTATCATTGGCCACCGGCTCAAGCCAGTTTACGAGCCTGTCCCCAAGGCTTCCCACGAGCCGAGCCAGCTAGAGCTTATATGCCGGCTCGACTCGAGCTGGGTATAATGAGGTTATTTGTATGGTAGAGCGGCGCTACTCCATACAAATAATCCCTGTCTCTTGCATGTTCTGGTTCTTATTGCTACACACGACTACTCGTAGTTTTTTTTACATTTTCGAACTGGACTAGGCATGCGTATGGGCTTAAATCGTGCTTGGCAACTAGATTTTGGTGGTATGTATACTCAATCTAGTTCGGAACGTTAGAAAAGTACGAGTACCGCCGGGACTCACATTAGCTAGCCGCCGTGCAGAAATCAATGCAGGCTTCTCCAGTTGTCTGTTCGGCCTAACGTCCCCCCCTTTTATTTAGCTTAATCTCGGATGCTGCGCTCTGCCTACTTGCTGTGGGGCACACGGCGTGTAGAGTACTCTAGGTACAGACAACTGTAAATTCCATGGATTGGTTGGTGTTCTGAATTCGGCTTATTTATAACCTGCAAAGATTATTGGTGCCCACAATCTAATTTTCCCCTTGGACTTCCTGATTAGGGTGTGGCAGAGTGACTTCGCCATTGAGGAAATGATCATTTTTACAGAGGCAAAGTCACTTAGCCATCGCATATAGTTCCCCAGTGAGGAGTCAGGGAATCTGCATGTCTCACCAGTCCAAGGGATAACATATTTATAATATATTTATCGTGCCCGTGCTGTGGGGTCGTCCTCTCAAGAAGATCGATGATCTGGGGGGGATCTATCGTCGGCTGGTTTGGAATCATGAAGTGTATTTGTAGGTACCGCGAGAGGTAGAATTAAACAGGGGTCTAAAAACAGGGTTTCTATGGCTGGGCAAGTCAATAGGGCTCTTCCCATGCTTCTATCTCACGTTGTAGATACATACTAGTTGTTGCGCATCAGTCTCCACCCCCCCTTCCTTCCCCCACAAATGGAGCTCGGGCCAGCTAGGCCTCTATATTTTGGAGGCAAGAAACCGATGTTTCTCCCAGCTCTAGCATGAGAAATATAACACCCACTATCTGCCTCACCCCGGAACCCAAAAAAACAGTCACCTTCTACGTTGGAGCCATGCCCTTATGGGGATCTTTCCCCAAACGGGGCCGTGGATCTAACTCGGGGCCCCTCCCAAAGGTAGAAAAGACAGTCCAAAGTACAAAAACGACAGCTCCAAGCACTGCGAAGACAGTTCAAAAACAAGGAGCAGTCCTCAGAGTCGCAGGCACCCCCCCCCCCCCCCCAGCCGAAACAACCGAAGATTGGGATAATATCCTTCGCATTTTGAAGAGTTCGTTCTCAGAGGCGCTTTCAGGGGAAACGTTCGACATCAAGGCAACACTTAGTCAATCCTGTTATGATAATACTCGCACTGCTCTGGTCAGTTCTACGCCACCAGCGCCCCCTGAGCTGAACGGACTGGCCAACGGTGGCACTCTTGAAATCCCTTACAACGGTACCCGCAAGGCTTTAATCATAGATAAGGATTTTTACGGTCTTACTCAGCTCTATCAGACCAATGGCAAAGTACAAGCAGAGTAGGCTTCCATCAATGGCAAGTAGTGACATGTGCTAACCTTTTATAGCGTTGTAGCTGTACCCGGGCTTAATGGCCATGCTTATGGATCGTGGAGGGGAAGAGATAGGCTATAAATGATGTGGCTTCGTGACTTCCTTGAGGAGGATTTACCACAGTGTAGAGTTATGATATATGGGTATAACTCAAAACTTGCAAGCAATTCTACTCACACGATTCGAGACTATACGGATTCGTTTTTAGAGGAGTTGAAGAAAGCGAGGCAGTCAAAACAGGTAAACTTGTGTGCTATAAATTAAGGATACTGGAAATCTAATGTTCTCTCACAGGAAAGAAATAGACCAATAATATTTATTGGTCATAGCTTCGGTGGTGTTATCACCGCCCAGGTGCTCGATACTCCAACGAACCCCCAGACTGAGATGCTAATCATGTAAAATATTCGTGTATTATATTAAGAAAGAAACATAATCTTTCTTAATGCATGTTATATATATCCTTCCGGTTACATATTCGCAACGTACCATAACTCGGTCAAGGAGCGAGTGATGGTCTATGATCGAGTGATTGATATGAATAAGTGTAATCCTGCGACCAGCGGATCAATTCCATTTCCATTCAGAAGAGGAAAAGGCATACCTCAAATACTTTTCAACTTTAGGAAGCCTAATTTATCCAACCTAACAATTAGCACCGTGCCCTAGTTCAAAGTAATCTGGTGCCTAAACCTCCTAATGATATGCGTTTGCGCAAGAATTATGGACATGATTGAGAGATCAGCCGTGATATATTGAGTACTGATTAACTCAAATATCTCTTGTTGTATAACGCAAGAAGTGTATTTGTCATCTTCTAAAAAGTGTTAAGATCACCAGCGTAAGTTAATAGTCATAATCTCGTTGGTGATTAGTAGTGACGAACACGAGACAAGAAGCCTCGAAACTAATGGAGGCAGTCTCTAGACGTCTCGAAACATCGTAAAATGTGGAAAAATGGAGTATTTCCAGGCGGAGGGTCTGATGCTTAGATTAATATGTGTATAAATGAAGGATTTCATTCAAACCCCCAACAATGATTCTAGTTTTAATCCGATATACTACAAGGCCTATAGTATTCTAGCTACAGTCTCGAGGCTTTGGGCGATATTTCCCCTAGGTCCCTTTAATCACAAGACCCACTGTCCGCAGATGCAGGGCGGGGCGAGATCAATGGAAGTCTCGCCTTGCTTTGTGCTGTTTGAATTACTAGTGATTAGACCGTTGATCTCTAGCATTCAATAAAGTTGTTGTGTTATTTTTGGATGCCTAAGTGTTATTGCTTGTTCTGCGATACCTATTAGTACTGGTTTCTACGTAGGCATTACTGGTTTAACCTCAGATATTTATAGTTGGTATACCGCCACCATCATGATCATATATTCGCAACCGCATGCTACCAAGCGCTTTACGTATACCTTTTGCCGACCGCAGCCTTTACCACTATAAACTGAGGGAGATTCCGTTCTGGCGGTTGTCAGGAGGGCATATATGGGGTTCCCTAACCTAATTATGCTATCTCTCGGGCCCGGTATGATCTTGAGACAGCAGGTCGGTGTACAGTGGGGAACGCCAACCCCAGCACCGGTCCAACTAATCGTCGCCTGTCTATCTGGGACGACCGGCGCGTGAACGGGATATCCGAACTTACCAACTAAGGGAAGTTTATGAGGCTAGAATTTCAAAATGAGCTTTAGAACAATGGGGTGTTTCGTCGGGGTTGGGCTGTGCATGTGGTTAGCATACATGTTGTAATGTACTTCATATATACATTATATCGTGGGCTGTAGCTGGTGGGGGTAGACATCTTAATGTGCACACCTAGGTATCAAAAGAGCCTGTACCCAACCCCACCCGGCCTCAGAATATATGTACCCAACCCGTCCCAACCCCGGGAACACCCGCCTCTTATATGGGTATAAATCCGGGAGTATACTATTTCTTTCACGTAATTTCGGAGCCGGGAGATATTTGCGAATTACTATAGCGGGGATCTGAGATATATCAATTTTTTTGATTATGTAGTGCCTTTTTTCTCACCCATGAAATAGCTGGGTATACCCGGGTCAAATTATAGGCCACACCCGGCCCGACCCGTTGAAAAAATGGCGTACCCAACCCATACCCACCGGGTGCTACCCGGGTGACGCTCGGGTTGGGTGACCCCCATTGCGACGGCTGGGTGGGGGTGACAACTTAAAGTCATAAGCAGGATGAGTCGTTTGGTAAATGCATGTAGGTTGGTCCGAACGCCATGTGTATGTAAGTACATGCAGTGAGTTCTCTCAAAAGCTATAGGTCTTTGCTCTAACATGTCATAGTATACAGGTATATGTGGGTACTAATTACAGTCCGAAATAGTCGAAGTCTGCCTTAGACTCCTCAGCTTGACTAAAGCTGCGTTCGTCCTCCGATTCTAGATCTATCACCTGCCTCTTCACAGCTCTCTTTACCTTTCGAGGCTGTTCATCATCTGACGATAAAACTATGACCTCCTGTCCTCTTTCAATGCTTTCGACTTCGTTAGTCTCTCCGCCCTGCAAGATTGCCTCTGCGGTCTCCGATGACTGTATAACGCTATCTATCTCCGCTGTCTCTTTCTTGATTCCCGGTTCCTTCAACACATGAGCCTCTCCTTGCTCATGGGTTACATCCTCAGCGTCATCGATCTCTTGGTCAGTCTGCACCCCCCCTTTTTCTTCTGTATCAGGGCCTATCAGTGGAGGGGGTCCTATCTTCTCATCCTTTTCTAAGTGCTTCCATAGACATCCTCTTGGTCGTCCCCTGGCGCTCTTTCTCTTAGGTATCCCCCCCTTCTCCCCGCTATTGGCGCCGTTTTGAGGGCCTTCTTCGACCTCTCTTTTCCTTTTCTTTCCTCCTTCCTCCCTAAGCACCAAGACCCTACCACTGCAACCATCATCCTGGTTGACCTTTTCGGTCTCATTTTTCCTTCTTATCTCATTTTTCCTTCTTTTCATCAGGGTCCAACTCTTCTTCCCTGCCTCATTTATGAGGCCTTTTACCCTCCTTCTACATTCAATCTTCTCACTCGGTTTCTCTGGCAACACCATATTCCACAGAATATCCTCTTCGACCTGCTCACGTACCTCCCTTGGTACATCTAGCCACGCATCATAAGTATAGTGATCACCCCATTGTTTACTAAAGATACGCTTCGAATTCCTAGTTAGCGGTGATCATGGGTTGATTCTCTATGAACATACCTGTAGATCTGGGACCTTCATCGTCAGACCGATCTCCCTAGCCAATGCTACAAAGGGATTCTTTGAGACGTGTTCCATGATTTTATTCGCAGCGGATTGCAATAATTTGTGAATGCGGGCATGCCAGTTAGGGTCACGAGATGCGGTCGGGATGCTCGACAGGCCCTTCAGTTTTTCTTCGATGCTAGGGAGTTTGGTGGTCCAGTCTAGATCTATAGTGGAAAGGAGCTCTGCCCGTAGCGTTCGCTGCGGTTCTCTTACATATATCAGTGATCGGGACTTCAATGAGTAGAATTGATAAAACGGCAATTGAGTGGGTTTTCGTCAGGCAAAAAGGGCACGGGGCAAAAACCAAGGCAAAGGCAATGGATCCGGCCCTACCTTTAGTTTATCGGTAGTCATAGGGTCTCCAAGCGCTGACAAGAGCGATTTAAAGGGGTCCGTTTCCATATCTTAGCGCTGAAGGGAAAATGACTGCCTTATTTCCGAAATAAAGGTAGGTTTGGTGTATCTGGTTTTTCCGTGGGCTTTTGAAGCTTTTAAAGTTAGATGCAAAACAAGCGCATTAGGGTTCAACCGGCAACGAAAATAACGGCCAATGATCTTGAAAAAGTACACGCGCAATGTCCATCCTAGCTTCAGGCAGACCATACGCAATAAATTAAACGCCAATGAGTCATGCACAGTGAATGTTGTTTTGTCAGGGAAGAGATATGCACATGAACCTTTTGGGCGGCGCCTAAGCGCTCAAGGGCGCGACATAATGCAGCGCAGGGATAAGTGCCGCCTCAAATGGGATTTGCAGCAGACACGGACACGAGTTCACGCGTTCTGCACAGTTCATTTAGTGCATGATGCTTCCATTCGACGTGTCCTTCCCCCGCTCTTACCCATTAGCCGGCGGTTACATTACCAATAGGAAACCCATACGAGATAGATTGAGACATTCTTTACTCACATACCGCTTTAGACGCATAGAACGTTTATGGATACGTAGTTTCACCCCGTAGATAGATGATACCAGGTCCATATGACGACAAATGTTGTTCATGCACAAAAATTGTCTACTCGCCATTTCTCGGCTATTCTTTGTCCCCGGGTTATAATTAATATGGTAATAGGACAGAGATTGAAAGGTGTTGATTAGTGGGTATACCATCCCGGCCTTATCAGTTCCAGCACGCTGTCCCACCATTTGAAATAGTTTGATACATTAGGCTTTGTGGAAGAGGCTGGCTCTGCTGCACTAAAAATTATTTCCAAAGATATGTTAAACCTGTCTCTGGCATGTGTTGCCTCATCTCTTTGCGGGCTTCGCTATCCTTGGTGTAACAAGTTTTGTATCAGGAGAAAAAATTCTTTAAGTGGTGGCTTTGACATCTACATCAAGGTCTAACTTAATCTAGTAGGGGGGTCCATATAGTATACGGCGCAGCCGAATATCAACATTACCCGACGATTCGGTGGATCAGATGACCATGATTTGGACCCATGGCCCTGGGCCTGAAACGCTTTGGATTCATGTGGACTGTCAGACTCTCCACGTTCAATCATAACAAAGTGTGCGTTACAATAGAGCTTTGAAGATCCTACCTTTGAGTAGATCTTAATTCTTTATTAAGTACATTTACGACGGAGGACTCTCGTCAACCATCACTGATTGCTTTTTCTGGGCTTCCTATTCGATGTATCAAGCGAAAACCACAGAAGAACCCCCATATTTTCTAATTAGTGTCAAAAGGCTAGGCACCAGATCGGGTGAGAATGACCCGTGAGGATGTCCTAAACTAGGAGGCATCCCAAATTAACTGCCCTGCAGAGTAGTAATCTACTGATTGGGTATTGATTGTAGAGGCACATTTTTGTATTACCGGACTCTTTGCCTACTTATCGAAAGAATTGGATAGATGCAGAAGGAAGGACCCAGAAATATGCATGACATATTTGTTTAAAGTATACCATGGTCCGTCACAGCTAATCAGCTTTATTTATTGGTTCCCAAAGAATAACAATAACGGGAAAGATAGCAATCAGGATTGATTTGGATTGAATATTTAGCACGAGAATTTGAAATTATTCGTGAGATTACACTATTTGGCCTGCCAAAAAGAAAATTGGATGGCTCTAATCCGCCTAATCATTTAGACTTAAACCTACAACCATGATCGCCCTCTATTAGTTTCGCTCTAAGCTTGTGATTTTATGGTTTGGGAGGTGCTTTGAAAAATCTACCGGCCTGATCTCGTCAGGAAGATTACAGCCAGATACAGTACTCTATACAACGGCATGCAGGAAATATGCCAGGCTGATTATATGTAGTTACACAAGAAACGTCCTTATTTCTTTTAGCTGTCAACATTAATTAACCACCCACCCATCAGGTACGGCACTTTATATATGTGGTCCGCGGTAGGTCGCGTAATTGTCTGCCCAACCGGCTGGGACTCAATCCCAATCCACCGTGCAGAAGCCCAGGTATCAGATGCGCAAGGGCCTTCCAACCACAATTCACAAATAGGAAGCCTGCCAGTGGCATGGTGTCATTGTGTGGTACCTTTTTAATTTTGTCTGTGAGAGGAAGGTGGGACTTCAACCAACCTCTCAATTGAGTTGCGTAATTGCCTTGAGGATTTGAGGGTCTGTGGAATGTTATCTGCAGATCCAACGTTATTCGGATCAGATACGTAAAGCTGAACTGATTATATATTAGTCCGGAGCTCAATATGTAATATTGCCTCAAGGACCAATGATCTTCGCGTCGCCGGGAGCTAGTGCGGAGATTTTACCTATAGATACGGTGTGTTACTATCGGCCGTGTATCCGGCACCCGCAATTGGTGGATGGATGGCTTTTACGTACCCACACAATGGGGTCCACTATTGAGGATATTTTAGCCGTCTTACTATATGTGGTTGATCGGCGGAGGGTGTGTGTACAGAGACAGGTTTCTGGGCGGGACAGGAACCATACGGTGCCTGTGTAAAGAGTTCCTCGTTTAGTACTTGGATGTTTACCTTGTCCGGGTATCGTTTGTTTTGTTTACCGTTTACCTGGTTTTCGCTTTGTAATTTGCTTGGTTGTTTCCTTGCCTCGTTGTCTGTTTAACCACCTACCTGTTTACCTGGTCTCATACCCAGATCTGTTGTGTTTGTGTGTCCACAAAGTGCAATAACAAGGACGGCCTGGTAACGGGATTACTATTCACCTGTTTATCTGCCTCCCTCCCTGTTCCTCTGCCTACCCTGGTTGATGTCTCGTGGAACCATTACGCCAAGCCATAGCTTCCCTAAGCGGAAACAAAGAACGTACCGAAAAGGGATGTTGTTGTTCATTAATCGAGAAGCTCATCCTTCCGCCCCTCTTTACTTCTTCCCTACTGTCTTTATTCATTATTGACCACGATACTACTCCCCCTCATGAGAATGTTGATACACGACTACCGCGTTCTGCGGAGAACTTTCCTCCTGTGTCCTCTGTCTTTGGTGAATTAAGAGTATTTTCCCTCCCTCGGTGTGCGGGACCTGGAAGGTGGGGATGCTTTCTCTCTTCGTTTTCACCTCTCCTTTGCTCAACAAGACATGCAAGCAGCAAGCTAGGGCCTATGTACTTCTCACTATCCTCATGGGAGGGGCCGGGGATATACAAACAGGAAGCTGAGGCCATCGTTTGGCAGATTACTCCACTCATTCTGACCTCGACCTACCTTTACTCTCCCTCAATATATCGAAAATTCTTGCCATTTCGCATACCGTCCTTTGGCCGTTCACGCCAATGCTCCTGACAAAGTCCCATTCTCACAACACCACTGCAGCATATCACCGCGATCGACAGAAGCACCTAGATATTTACCTTTATATCACTGAAAGACCCCTTTCCCCTATGGCCGACCGGCAACTGTGAGTCAATATATGGATTCCAAGCATTGAGTTATTTCGATAAGTGTGAAGCCTGTAGATATTACCTATCCCGCAAGCTGGCATGCTGGCCCGCCTATAACAGAGGAATTAAATTTTTACAGGAGAACTATTATTTGATGAGAGTGATAATAGGATCTGTTAGCAAAGCCACACAAAGGTTTTCTTTTGAAGCTGTTACCATTCGTTATCAGCTAAAGGGATAGCATCTTTACGCTCCATACGGAGCTTTCGACCTTTGATCTTGAGGAACAGAAGGTACTGCTAGTAGTGATCTAACCCCACATTTCAAATGCGGCGATATAGTTGAACCTTAGGGTATGGATTATGGTTGAACTTTTCACTGGTATTGTTAGTCCTGGGAGTTGGGGGTCAGTTACAGTCTTGTTCGTGCTGGGAAGGCCGCCATGCACCCAGTCGATACGTGCCACTTATTGACTTAAGGTCTCCATCCCGTGACTTCACGATGCTGTAGAAAGTAGTACTGCGGGATCTCATTTCTGTACTTAATCCTGGGAGGCGAGGTGTGGTTGGCTTGGCACGTTGCGGTTGACGTTGCGGCCCACTTCATGGAGAGGTATGGTCGTTCGTAGATTAAATGACACGAAGAATTAAGCTTTGCTACTGTTCCCCCTATTGTTGTCCCACCACACTACTACATGTACTCAACGTTCTCTTTCGACCACTTGCGTTCTCTCCTGCCCGGTCGCCCACCGGCCCATAATTACACACCAGGAGCTTGGGGCCTCGACGCCCTAATACTAGCACAAAGCCCCAGGGTAGACTGAATGTGCCCCGGCTCATTGGAAACGGAAGACTTTCGGCTGTTATGTGGGTAGGCTATTCGTTCTGCTCACGCTGAGACCTGCGGGCGGTCGGCTGAGAGGTCGAGATCTTCTGTTTTTTATGAGTGGTTTCCCGATGCTTTCCCGGCGGCGTTCCCGCTCCCGCTCCCGCATACCCGCATGCAACCCCACCACCGCCCCTACAATGCTGTTGACCGAGCCCATTACTGCCCCACAGATATGTACTGCTTAGCATATCAAAGAGCGGCGGAGAAGGTTAGATCTACCTATCGGACGTGGATATATACAGTACCAGACGCAGGCGCAAGATCTCTAACTCTATGACATACAAGCAGGTACCAACTCAACACACGACGGG